GTGTTTGTTAGTGATGTATACAACATTGCCTTAGCAACACAGGGTCATACACATGTATGGCTGTCCATGAATCTCTTGCAATGGTATATGTCAAAGGGTCAGTGAGATTCAGGGCTGTAGATGTCAGATCTCTCTGGTAGCTGATCACCCCAGCTATTCCCTCTTGAGAACTGGGTCTAGCCATATGACTGCTCATACGAGATGAAAGGGGTGCATTAGGTTTGTACATCCCTTGACCAGGAAAACCATTCTATAGTCAAGATCATCGTGGGTGAACAAAGAGGCACAAAACACAACATATGTAGAAGAGACAATCTCAATAAAGAAAAAAAAACTTAGCCTAATGTGGACCAATGTTCCTAGGACCTGAACGGTTTGAGATATACAATTGCAAGTGTGGGACATCTTGTTAGTAGGAGGGGCAGCGCCAAGCTGATGGACAACTTAAGTACATCCCCTGCCTTCTCCCTAGAAAGCAGGCAATACTATGGTGACTGTTTACTTCCTGCAATACAATAATATGTTTCAATGGATTTTGTACTAGTACTAAGGATGATAAAATGCTAAGAGATGAGCAGTCAGGTTTTCGGTCAAACAGATCCTGTACTGACCAGATAGCGACATTACGTATTATAATAGAGCAAAGCATTGAACTGAACTCACCACTTTACATTGGATCTTTAGACTATGAAAAAGCATTTGACAGCATTGATAGGGAATCTCTCTGGAAATTGATGGGGCACTATGGAATCCCACAGAAAATTATCAACTTAGTAAAGGCAACATATAAAGACATGAAATGTCGAGTTCTTCATGAGGGAAAGCTAACAGATGCATTTGAAATAAAAACAGGTGTGCGACAGGGATGTCTTTTGTCGCCTCTCTTATTTTTACTGGCTATAGACTGGACTATGAAAACAGTAACTGCTAACACCAAGAATGGAATTCAGTGGACCCCTTCAAAACAGCTTAATGATCTGGACTTCGCTGAGATCACAGCAGCTTGGTCTGAAAATCCATAAAGGAAAGACAAAGATAATGAGAATAAATCAGGCAAATAGTAATGTGGTTTCTCTTAATGGCACCCCACTTACAGATGTGGAGTCGTACACCTATTTAGGCAGTAATGTAGATAAAGATGGAGGAACTGATAGAGATTAAAATAAGAATACAAAAGGCAAGAGGGGCTTTCATAGCACTAGGGAATTTGTGAAGGTCAAAAGAATTTAAAAGAAATACTAAACTAAAAAATTTTAATTCTAATGTCAAATCAGTACTATTGTATGGGGCGGAAACATGGAGAACAACCATTAAAGACACTACACCTTCATGGCATGACAATAGCCAGTGGCAGCCAATGTGCACTGGATCGCACATTTTTCCTCCCCGCGACGCTTAACAGCAGAAGTGGTTAATGGTGATGATGATGATGATGATGATGATGATGAGGATGACTAAAAAAAAAGGAATCACCACTGGAGCTATGAAGTGTGTGCTCTGTACTTCACATAAAATAAAACAGTCAATAATAAATAAATGTCTGTTTGACATTGGTTATGGTTTTTAAAATATCATGCTTAAAAAAAAAAATTAAATAAGATGTAAAGTAAATAACATACAAATGAAATGTAATGCAACAGCATGTGTTTTTATCAAATTCTAATTAACATTTACTGTGCTATTAAACCACTCAGACTGTTAAAAAAATGGAACATAATACTGTCATGCTTATACCAAGATAACCTATGCAGTGTCATTCGTTTCAATATTCACAAATAACAGCACTAAAAATAATAATTTACTAATATAATTGGGAAAAGGAGATAACTCTGTTACCTTTCATATTATTGGCAAATTACATGTATATTAAAAAGGCATGAAATATTAATAATAATCATGGCTCAAATCACAAAATATAATTTAAAAGGTTATATTAATTAATATGAATTAATAACATTTAGATTTATATTACAGTTTTATAAAACTAAAACAGTTTAGATTTAAGAATGTATTTAACTTTCTTTTACTACCATCTACAAGAGCAGTCAGGGTATAGTGGCTAGATGCTCGCCTGCGGATAGGAGAACCATGGGTTCAGGTCCTGACAAAGCCATACTTTTATCAAAAATGACCTTGGCTCCCAGGTCGACCCAGCCTTGAATGGGTACCAGGTACAGTCCTGGGAAGAGAAAGCAGCTGCCATGATGACCACATCACCCTCATAGTGCCGATTGGTCAATAAAATATAGGTCTAGCACTATTTGCGCAATACACCTTAATGCGCGTAAAAGGGTCCTTTACTTTTTATCACTTACAACACAGTGGTTTATAAAGAGCAGAAATACAAAGCATTGTTTCTAGAGTCACCGACGCAAAGGTTGATGCAGGATATAAATCCTGTTGACCCCTGAAACAGAAATATCAGTTTTGACATCCATTATGAATCTCAGAGAAAAAAATATTATAGTTTCATTGCATTGTCCAGTCCCTAGAAGGATTATTTATCAGTTTTGATACCATGTAAAACTGTATGGTGTTTAGATCTAGTGGACATTTACAAAAAACTAAAAGCAACTAAGTGTAAGAAGGGTTGCAATAATAAATGCTTCTACTGTGATGAGGTCTGAGAGACTTGTAGTTAATATGGCAGATAGGAAGTGTTACTGTTTTAGTGGCAGTGAGGTTTTGCTTCTGACAATAGTTGGCTGTTGCATTTTCCTTCATAGGTGAACTGAAAGGATTTAGTTCCATTTGCCAGCTCTTGAACTGAGTGCATGTCACGATACTGTGAGCTGTAGATTTCATTTGAAATGCTTTTGGGCTATGCTTTATATCATTTATGTTGTGAACTGCAAATGAAAAAAAATGGCAAGTGGCCTGCTGAGAGAACTTGTGGTGCCTTATGTGATTAATTAAATGTGCAACTACTAATCTGTTGCAACTGCTGCTTCCATTAATGAGGAACTGCATTTCTAGTGTTATTTGTCTTGGTACTTCTGACTGCTGCCTTATGCATTTAACATGCATATGTGCTGTTGGATTTGTTAAGATTGCAGTCTGCTTCTTATTTTTCACAAGGGACAAAGATGGACATTCTGTGGTTTTCATTGGTGTCAGGAATGGATAGATATGAAGCGACCTGTTAACTATGAGGTTAGAACTGTGATTACCTGGTGTTATAGTCATTGTGTAGTATGATCAGGCTCTGTTGTATTTCAGGACAAACTTTTATAATCTGAGTTTTAACAGTTCTGCCAATGATAAGAACAAAGATGGCAGTGTTGTTTAGGTGTCCTGTCCACAAGTTATCACTGACTGCACAAAGGCAATGGATGGCTGAGACAAAAATGACCAGTTGGTAAAACAAGATAGTGACTGCTGGAGTTACTCCCACACTAGAATGGAATAGCTGAAATATACAATTGACTGCTAGTGACACAATTCACCCAATGTTATTACTGACTTCATCTGATACAGTTGTTCATTTAAGAAATTCCAGAGAATTTTGACTAAAAAGCTCAACAAAATGGGAAAGAGGAAAACGTGCACAAAACAACATAACGTAACGTTTTGGCCGGGCAGCCTTTTTCAAACATAAGTGAAATACACAAACGAGGAATGGATAGTATGTAGATCTCTAAGGGGTGACGTGAGCGACGTTTAAAAAGAATGTGATGTGGAATAAATGAAATAAAATTAAATAAACGATGGCTTAAAAATATAGTCACAATACTGGGAATAAAAGAAATGCAAGTGTTAATGATACATAAATGATACTGATAAGAAATAGAATAAAGTAATAATATGAAATAAAATAAAATAATTAACATTTAAAATGTGATAAGATTAGAACTATTTAGATGAAGGTATGTTGGATATTGATACCACTTGGACTAAGAATGTCAAAGCTGTAGATAAGGCGATTTTCCAAAGCGAGGCGGGTAGTATGATAGCCAGAGCAAGATTTTAATGCTGTGACAGATATGTCATCTTTACCGCTGTGGTCAGGGCTATTAAAATGAAGAGGGTTTGAGTGTCTTCTTGTCGATATCAAAGAGGTGTTCCCGGAAACGATCAGCTAGCTTCCTGCCAGTCTTCCCAATGTATGCCTTGCTGCATTGTTTGCAGATAATTGCAAGTAAAAGTTTCCCTAATTTGAAAAGAACCATTAGGGAAACTGACCGAAGAAGTCTGGACAACGAAAGAACATCTCTTGCAGGTGCTGCATGAGCAGTAAGTAGTCCCAAAAGGAAGTGCTGTGTGGATCGGTGGGAGTCGACTTCGGACAAGTATGTCTTCTGTTTATTTAAGTTAATACCAGTTAAAAATCTGCACACATCTGTCAATGCGATGATAATGATGATAATTTACTACTTCAACCATAATATAACACACAATTATTTGAAGCAATAAAACATGTTTTGAAACAACAAATTGATTTTCATCCTCTGTGAGATCTAGTAAAAACTGCACTCAAAGCTCACTGTGTCTAAAACCTACAAATAGTGACTACCAATTTTCAAGCTAAGTATGGGAAAGAAACCATTTAACTACATGATGAAATTGACTGGTGATCAATTCCCGACCAGTTAAGAGGACACAATTATTTCTTAACTCGCTAGTGGTGCAGTAGGCATATGGTGCTAGACCCATTTGTATAGACTAATGAACACACAATACTGAGGACAAGAAAACAACCCTCTTTACTTCTTAGGACACTTCCTGGTACTATTTTAGGCTGGGAATTTAGTAATATAATTGAAAAACAATTACCATGCAAACCTTTCTGAAAAATTTTTTTGTTTACATTGTTAACTGTGGTTGCAAGACATATATTGTACTTTACATTTGTAATGAAACGGTCACACAATATTTTAAAATGAAGGTCAATTCAGAAACACACAAATAACAAACAAAAAAGATAGGTAATGCAACAATACCACCTGGTTAGATATTCACAATAAAGACACATTTGTGTGAACAAATGAAATGCTACCTAGTTACTCATCAACAAAGTATCCAGAAGCTGAAATCTGATACTCAAAATCTGTAATTTTACGCATCTCATCTGGTGAGATTGTATCAAAAGTTACTCCTTTTCTGGCCAGTTCTTCATAAACATTTTGCAAATAATTTGGGTCTGGGTAGCCATACCTGTAGAAAAGATTTTTAAAAAGATGAATTAAAAGCTTCAGTAAATAGCTGTTTTCAACTGTATGCAATTCTGACAGTATTTAACATTTACAGTGTTAAATGATTGAAATCACAATATGCTTTTACAACGTAATTATACTTTCATTAACTGTTGATTAATAACTACATACCAACCAACCAACCAACCAGGGAAATCTTATATCTCAGTCAACCCACTTCCTAATTATCTGACTGTCTATCAGTAGATATACATTAATTCTGTAATTATGCAATATGTCATTCTTGATCTCTTATTGTCAATATTTTATACTGAGATTACAGAGACGATATTTTTTCCTTTGTGTTCCCTTCACATGACAACCTAATATTAATGAAATTTTCTTAGCAGAAGTAAGCCAGAACAGTAATTTCTGATACTTTTGCAATGTCCTCTAAAGAGTCCGAAGAAAGGTACATGTTCACTTTAGTCAAGTTAATAATGCTCTGGGCGGCGTAAACAACATTCGCCGAAAAATTGTGACTAAAAGATGTGTTTATTCCTGGAAAGAATGTTAAATGTGTTAGATTAGTGTAGTTGTTCAGTTGAAGATGAATTCGCGACAGGCCCGGCAAGTCGGCAGAGGATTCAGTGGTTCAAAAATAAATGCCCAAGATGAAAAAAGGAGATGTTTTAGAAATAAGGAAAATAGAGGCCAGCAGAAGGTTAAGACCAGGGTAGGGACAATCAATATATGTGGATGGGGCAATAAAGAAGAACAAGTGATCGAATTAATGGAGAAATATAATGTTAAAGTATTAGGCTTATCAGAAGTGAGAATGAAAGGACGAGGAATGAAGAAACTACATAAAAATTACATTTCGATACAATCGGGAGTAGAGGAAATGTAACGTGCAAAGCATGGAGTAGGATTTGTCATCGATCCCGAAACTGCAAAAAATATACTTGAGGTTAACTACATCTCGAAAAGAATCATAAGTTTGAAATTACAAGTAGTAAATAGTTTGGAGGTGTTTTTTCAGATATATGCTCAGTGCAATGGAAATTACAGTGAGGAGGATTTAGATCAATTCTTTGAGGACCTGGATGAAATTTGTAAGATTGATAATAACGAGAAACTGATCGTGATCGGTGATTTTAACGGTAAGACAGGACGAGACAGAAGAACATTTACAAGATACCTAGGCAATTATGGAGACAACAGCATTAGAAATGAAAATGGCGAAAGACTGTTTGATATATGTGCACAACATGACCTTGTTATTACCAACACCTTTTTTCAACATAAAGCTTCACAAGTTTTTACATGGTATAAATGGAATGATCCAGATACTAAAATTGATTACATCTTGACGAGAAAAATATACTTTCATCAAGTTACAGATGCGAAAGTTATACCAAACCTGAGTTTAGATACAGATCATAGGATGGTGATCCTTGACAGAAAAATCAAGATAAGTTATCAAACAAAAAAGAAATGTAATAAAAGTGACATAATAAAATGGAAAAAACTAGAGTGTGAGGAAAACAGGCGAGCGTTTCAGCAAAAATTACAGGAAAATTATGAACAGCTGCCACAAAACACTCTTGGGGTAAATACAGAATGGTTGAATTTCAGAGACAGCACTATGAAAATAGCAAAACAAATATGTGGAACTAAAAGGAAAGGCAACAAAGGACGTAAGCTCTCAACATGGTGGTTTGAAGAAATAAGAAGAATTGTGAGCAATAAAAAGACTGAAGAAGCAGTGAAAAACTACTACAAAAAAATCAAAGGCATGAGAAACAGGAATGAAGAATACAGCCCAACAGAAATTATAAATGATGAAGTTGGCCAACCTTTAATAGAACCTACAAAAATTTTAGCAAGGTGGAGTAATTACTTTGAAGCATTACTTAGCTGCAATAAAACAGATAAAAGCAGGGAAGAACATAAAAACAACTCGGAACTAACAGCAGAGGATCTAGAACCAGGTATATTATTGGATGAAGTAAAATATGTCATTCGAACCGCCCCTAGACTAAAGGCGACAGTTATTGAGGATCTACCAGCTGAGGCCATTAAGGCAGCGGGAGAAACGGGAGCGGTATGGTTAAAGAGAATATTTCAGGTGGCATGGGAAAATCAAGAAATACCATCAGATTGGCAGACTGCTGTCATGGTCCCGCTGTGGAAAAATAAAGGAAGTAAGAGAGAATGTACTAATTACAGAGGAATATCACTTCTCAGTCACACTGGGAAAATGTATGCTAAGATCATCGAAAAAAGGCCGAGACCATTGATAGAGTATCAACTTTCAGAAGCACAGATGGGCTTTTGACGAAACAGAAGTTGCACAGATGGCATTTATACATTGAGACAACTATCAGAGAGGGCAATAGAACATAATAAGACATGTTTGTTGACATTCATAAACCAAGAAAAAGCCTTTGATAGAGTCGACAGGAATATGTTGTGGGAATGTATGGGAAAAAAGGAATCAGCAATCATCTCATTAATATTTGCAAAAGCCTGTACACACATAGTGAATGCTGCATAAGATCGAAGGCAGGGTTGTCAAGAACTTTTATAGTGAACTCTGGTGTGCGTCAGGGCTGTGTACTATCGCCGCTTCTTTTTATAACATACATGGACGCCATATGTAGCGAAACAAACTTTAACCAGGAAGAAGATATAACAGAATTACTTTTCGCCGACGACCAGGTACTCATAGCAGAAAATACGGAATGCCTACAGAACCACCTAAATCAAATTAGTAACGAAGGGGAGGAATATAATATGAAAATAAACACTACGAAGACAGAGACAATGATGATAGGAAGACATAAAGACAATTTAGAAATTAAATTAAAAAACAACACCCTGAGACAAACAGAGGAATTTAAGTATTTGGGAGCAGAAAAATTAGCTCTAGATGTGTCAAAGCTAATCAAGTAATGGGTCAACTATCTCCCCTGTTGACACACAAGCTGATTCTTCAGAGTACTAAAGTGAATCTTATTAGAACTATTTTTTGGCCAACACTATGCTATCAGTGCCAAACGTGGACACTTACATCCTCCAATGAACGTAAAATTGTGACAACAGAGATGAAATGCCTTAGAAGAGCTGCAGGAGTTTCAAGGAAAGACAGAATACAGAATCATGAAATCAGACGAAAGCTAGGAATAAAGCCAGTCTTACAGGTCATCAAAGAACAACAAATGAAATGGTTTGGACACCTAACAAGAATGCCCTGATACTATCCGCCACAGCGAGCCACACTAAAACGTTACAACGGGTATAGAGCGACTGGAAGACCTCGGAAAAGATGGAGTGATGGTATTAAGAACAGCCTTACAGAAATGAACATCAGTCTTAATAGTGCTCTTGACAGAGCTCATCAACGAACATTACATCTCCCCCCGACACTTCGATCAGGTACAAGGTGGAAGAGAAGAAGAAGAAAGAAGAATAATGCTCTGACACCCATTTTGTTTTATAAATTCTTATTATTGTCTATCATCATTTATACTTATATCAGGCTATGATTGTACCTTTTTTGTTGTCAGCAAAACACTGTTGCTCATGTATTAGGATTTCTGGATGTTCAGTAGTATGTAGTATTCATTATTCAACGTTTATACGGTGATGATCACTGAGCAGCAGTTGAATGGAAAGGGGAGGACTTTGTCATTTGCTGATGACATTTTGATTTATCGACGAGGGCGTGATAGACAGGAGATCGCCAGCACTATGCACAAAGAACTCGATCGAATTGCCGCCTGGTGTGATGGTTCCAATGCCTATGTCAATCCTTCGAAGGCATCAGTGTCATGGTTCTCTTTGAACAATCACATTGTCAAGTCGGACTTACCAGAAGTGAAAATGCGTGATAATGTATTGATCAGAACCAACGTTATGACGTTTCTCGGGGTGAGGTTCGATCGCAGCTTGTCATTCAGGGAACACGTTGACCATGTGATAACAAAAGCACGCAAAGGTCTATCTGCAATGAGGATTATGGCTGCTTCCAACATTGAGCAAAGACTACTAATACTTCTATTCTACGGTCTGGTCCTTTCCCCCATTGAATATGCTCTGGCCATCCTCACTGTCAGTGCTACCCAGATTGAACGATTTGAAAAGGTGCAAAATGAAGCCATGCGCATTATTTTGGGATGTACTAGAGACACATCCTGTGGAGCAATGAGGTATCTACTTGACTTTCCAACAATGAACCAAAGGATCAGGATGTGGAGGGCTCGGGCATATCTCAAAATATGTGCTGATAAGAAACACCCACTGCATCAAGCGCTTTTTAGTGAAAAGGGCGACAGACTGAAGAGGGGGAAATCGTGGCTAGGTAGGGCAGAAGATGTTATTAGGCAAATATGCAGCCTAACCGACATCATACCTGGTGCAGAATGGATACCTGTGCCTCAGGCGTTTATTTGTACATTTTCCTGTATTGTCACACTCAACAGGCGATGTAGAGAAGAGAATCCTGTTGCTGTTAATGCAGAGGTCAACGCTCTCATCGGTGAAAATTCAGACGAAGCAGATGCAATAATCTATACAGACGGATCCGTTATACGCCAAAGAAGAAGCGCATGGGCATTTACAGCACGCTCAGCGGGCAGAACAGTCAAAGAAGCCAACGGCGCCTTCTCCATGACAACCAGCAGCATGACGATGGAGGTGATGGTAGTGACACAAGCGCTTGCCTGGCTTGAAACACAAAAATACACCCACGTGTGTATACTCAGTGATTCAATGAGTATGATCTGGAGGGCTCAGGCAGGTACAGTGCGAAGACAATGGCTTGAATCATTACAGAAGTCCACTGTCCGTGGAGTCACCTTTATTTTTGTTCCGGGACACGCAGGCGTCGATGGAAATGAAACAGCTGACAGGTTGGCTGGATCCGCTATCACTACCGACGGTCAGCCTATGGATCATGCTGATATTATCAATGCCCTCAGAGAAATGGGAAGGATAGACGACTTTGGTGGCAGTGAA